CGTTGATGTCAGCGAGTTAGAGCCCAGGCTGAAAAATTCATGTGAGAGGGAGTGTTTCTGCAACCTCCTGTTCATGCAAATTGGACATCAGTACACTTGAGGTTTATGGGAAAATAACCCTTTTTGCTGGATGTAGCATGCATTAGGATCCTCGGATTAATTCATGTTATGTTAAAGCCAGCTCTTGATTATCTCTGGGCGAATTGTGTAAATGGTGACGTTCCTGCACTAAGGGGACAAAACATCCAGTCTGGATCTAGATGAGCAGACTGAAAGCAGCATGCTGCCTTCTCCTGGCATTTTGTTGTTCTTGATTTCCCAGCTCAGGAAACTCAGCAGGTGACAGGATTGCCAACGGTTCTCTCCCCAACATCCCATTCCAGACTCATTTGCATGATTTCTGCTACTTAAAGTTTTATTTTGCCAAGGCTCTCCCATCCCTTTGTTCTCCTGGATAACTGATGTTTACGGTGCTCCCATGCTGTTGCTCAGCAGCTCCACCATGGTTTGAAGCCATTGTGCATTGTGGTGAAGACGGTGATAGTCTGTGTGATGGTTGCCTAAGCCTTGCTCTTTTACCTCTTCCCCTTTTATTGCTGCCTTTGTGGCTGTGAGATTCTGCTCAATGCTAGTGTGTTGAAGAAGAAAAAATCCATGCTGGCTCTGTGCTGTCATTTTGAAGAATGGCTATTCACCAAGCTCTTCATGGAGAGGTTTAAGAAATTATTTTGCTCCTTGGGCATGAAAATGCTGGTTAAGAGTGTAACCTGCACAGTACTACCTTTGCCTGGGAGTCTGGCCAAACAGAAATGTTTTATTTCCATTTAGGACATGGGTCTGCACCTTCAGTAGTCTTTTTCATAGGTGTTTTGTTTACAGCTGTCATTGCTGCTCAGGAGCAAGATGTGATGCCTCGCACTGAGAATAGCCCATGACACCTCAGAACATCTCTCAGACTGCTAGGTGATAGTTGGCTGCCATGCTGGGAGAGGGAGGAAGCAGGGAAGAAAGGGTGTTAGACTTAATCAGGGGTCTAGGTAAACTTGCATGTAATTTTTGTGTGTATGTGTGCTGAGCTTTGTTTTTGAAATTGAGGGGAACATCTTCTCTACACATCTATTGTGCAAGCGTAGGCGAAGAGATTAATCCATTGGGTACAGGTCACGGTAGTGCTGACCTCCTTACACCACCTTTGTTTAGAGCAGGAAAGCCTGAAGTTTGCTAGCGCTCAATTAATTGCAGTAAAAACATCCAATCATTTTATCTTCGCTACATTTGTCTTTATAATTTTGGAGCCTCATTTTGTCCTTTTTTCAGGTACCTTGTATGGTTGTATTACAGCTGGCAGTGATACAAGCTCATTTCAATCAGGGCAATGCTCTAATTTGAGGAAGAAGTTAACGGGAGCATGGCTCAACATTGAATGGTTTTTGGTAGACAATGGGTAAGCTAAGCCTGTGTAACAGGAGAAATCTTTATTCGATCAAAAGCAGTGGCCATATTGACATTAATGTAATTGGAAGGGATGGACTTTGTCCCTACCCGTTGATAGATTAGAGTGTTACTTTCTTTTTCCAGCATACTTATGTTCAGTTCTTTATGATCCTTTAAGTAGGAGATGCTGCCCACTGCTCACACAGCTCTAGAATGAAGCTTTATGCACCAACTAAAACTCCACAGCAGTTGTAGCTTTGCTTATTGCAGCCTCAGATGAAACCGAAGCTTATTTTACAGTAATCCTGTAAATTACACTTCAGCTTTTCTTTGGACAGGTCAGCAGTGACTGACTTGGAAACCTTGGTATGCTGTTGGATTTCTATTGTGGAGAAAGCTTGCCTGTGATTTAATCTAAAAGATCCCCCC